GAATTTGTAAAATTTCTCATCCAAACACACCATAAGGCATTGAAAAATAACTGCGACTTAGTAAAAAGTTTTAGCCATAGCTTACCCTTGATACTCTGCTATGCCTGCTGGTTGCTTTAATATGCTTCATATGCGATTGTTTAGAGAACAAATTTGTAAACCACACACACACACACACACGCACACATATATATATATATATATATATATATATTTCAATTTCTTCTATGTTCCGAGGATCACAATTACGAAAAAAATATCACTAATAAAACAATCTTTTTCTCATCATTAGAATTGGTGAATTACATTTACAACGAACGTAACAATGTTCGAACATAAAATCTTGAGACATATTATTCCAAATATTCTATAATTAACAAAACAATATTTTATCAATTAAGTTAATTTGTAATTTTTTTTCAACACTCAACAATATATATATATATATATATTTCTAGATTTGAATTATATTACTGTCATCATAAACTTTTGCGGATAAAAATATTATTATTATAAAAATAAACTTTTCTTAATTCAGTCAATCTATTTTTAAAAAAAAATAATTTCCTCTTTTAATCTCTTACCAATATTTAAAAAGCACACATGCATAATCACTAGGGTTAGCCTAGTGGTTGAGTGAGAGGAATTGAGATAATTAAAAGTATGAGGACTTAGATTCAATTTTCATTACAATCATCTTTGTAATATATTTTATCTTTACCAAAAAAAAAAAATACACATGCAAATTGGGATACGCGGATTTGTACAAACAAATTATTCAACAGGCCCACAACTATTCACATTAATTTTGTTAATGAAAAATGGTAATATTCATTTTTTTCAAAAAAAAAAATACGTGATTTGCAATTTTCCTTCATAGTTTATACACAATTATTTTCTTAAGACACGACGATCTGTTGTGATATGTTGGCTCCTCCAAATATTCTTGCAGCAGAGGATTTGCAGTGTGTCTGTGTCTCTCTTTATATATAAATAAAAATGTATTTATATATTGAAAAATTGTGAATTGTGTTTTGGGCATGTTTGTTTGAAATTAATTAAGGGTGGGTAGTGGAAGGAAGCATAGGAAGCAACAAGATAAAAAAGCAGGATGACACCACATCTTCTGTTTTCATTCCCATTCTCAGTTTTCCCTGCCATTCAATTTTTCATATAAATAAACTTTCATTATTATTATTATATTATATTATTATTAGTCTTTTTTTTTTGTTTCCATCACCAACCATTCATCTTTTGAATGGTGAATTTCCCATCTGGGTTGTTCCCTTTTTTCTCTTGATCTCTTCACCTTCTCTCAATTTCTTCTTCTCTGATCTTAGAAGAAAGAAAGAAAAAAAAAACTAAAAAATAAAAAAAATAAAAAAATAAAAAATTTGCCTGCTTGTGCCTGGTTCCTCTCTTGGGTGGATTAGATATTTTGCTTGAGTTTTTTGATTGATGCTCCAAAGATCCGATTCTCTTAGATCGAATTTGGCAAAACCCACTTCGTATCTGATTGAAGCACCAACTGGGTTCTGTCTGAGATTCAAGATAAGGTGACTCTTCTTCGCAGATTTGTTTAATATGCATTTCTGATCGCTTTGTTTTCTTCTTGCTCGTGAAAAATTGAATCTTTGTGGAGGGTGAGCTCAATTATGCATTATTCAATGAGCTGTGCATTTGGATTGGTTCCGGGACTTGAATTTTGGCCATCACTGAATAATCTAGATTGTGTGTGTGTTGAAATTTCTAATTTTTATGCTGTGTGGTTTTTGGTTTGGCATGAGAATTTTGATCAACATAAGTGGTTTGATTGAATTGTTGACTAGAATGAGTGATTGATGGTTAACTGGGCATGGTTGGTGACAGAACAGATGGAATCGGATCTTGGCAAGCTCTTCATTGGGGGAATTTCCTGGGACACTGATGAGGAACGTCTCAAGGAGTATTTTGGGAAATATGGAGAGGTGATAGAGGCTGTGATCATGAGAGATCGCACCACTGGTCGTGCTCGTGGTTTTGGTTTTGTTGTCTTTTCTGATCCTGCTGTTGCTGAAAGAGTCATTATGGATAAGCACATAATCGATGGCCGCACGGTGAGTTTTTCATTATAGATTTACTATGCATTATGTCAATACGTGTTATTTGTATGGGCAGTGATGGCACCTAGATAAACTTATGTTTGTGATAGCGATCATTATGTTTTCTACTGTGTTGGTGTGATCATTTTTGGCTCCATTGAGCTGAAGTTTAGCAACTTTGGTGCTTGGATTTCTATGGCTGCATTGTACTAAGCTGGGACTTTTTTGGCAGTTTTGATCCATGTGTGTTGTGATATCAATTTTCAGGTTGAAGCTAAGAAAGCTGTTCCCCGGGATGATCAGCAAACTGTAAACAGACAGTCTGGTGGCATCCATGGATCTCCGGGTCCTGGGCGCACCAAAAAGATTTTTGTTGGAGGTTTACCATCAACAATCACTGAAAGTGATTTTAAGAAGTACTTTGATCAGTTTGGTACGATCACTGATGTTGTAGTAATGTATGATCACAACACCCAAAGGCCAAGAGGTTTTGGCTTCATCACTTTTGATTCAGAAGAAGCTGTGGACAGAGTTCTTTATAAAACATTTCACGAACTCAATGGAAAGATGGTCGAGGTCAAGAGGGCAGTTCCGAAAGAGCTTTCCCCCGGACCTACACGGAGCCCTTTGATTGGATATAACTTTGGTTTGAATAGGACCAGTAACTTCTTAAACAGTTACGCTCAGGGTTTCAATATGAATCCAATTGGAGGTTATGGAGTCAGGATGGATGGTAGGTTTAGTCCACTTACTAGTGGTAGAAGCGGGTTTAACCCATTTGGCTCCAGTAGTTTTGGAATGGGAATGAATATGGATTCAGGATTGAACCCAAGTTTTGGAGGAGCTTCCGGTTATGGTGGCAATCTAGGATACGGCCGTATGAGTCCTTTCTACAATGGCAACTCAAGCAGATACACCACTCCTATTGGCAATAATGGGGGCAATGGGAGAAGCGATTCTCTTGCGAACTCGGCTTCTAGGAGTGTTTGGGGAAATGGTGGCCTGAACAATGCCGCCAATAATCCAGTCAGCCCTGGTGCTTACTTGGGATCTGGAAGTGGAGCTTTTGGTGTTTCAATTGGAAATAATGGCACAAATTGGGGTCCATCAGTTCCAAACCAAGGTGGAGGGGCTGCTTCTGGGTATAGTACTTGGGGTAACACTTATGAAAGTGGAGATAACAGCATTGGTTTAGGAGGTGGAGGTTATGGAAGGAACAGTAGCCCAAGTTTGCCTCAATCCTCAACATTTACTGCACCAACTGGTGGTTATGAAGGATCCTATGGGGACTTGTACCGCAGTGGTTCAGTTTATAGTGATGCAGCTTGGCGATCTGCTGCTTCTGAGATAGATGCTTCTGGCTCGTTTGGTTATGGACTTGGTGGTATAGCTTCAGATGATCCAGTAAAGAGTTCTGAGGGTTTTATTGGAAACTACAGTGTAACAAGTAGACAACCTAATAGAGGTAAGATCTTTAGCTACATTCTTGTCTCCTAAGAAAATTAGATCATAGATTATAAATTTTCTGATGTTTATTTCCATTTTTCATAAAACCAATTGTGTTTTTGAATTTCTATGTTTCAGAATGGGAATTGTTCTGAAGGAAGTTGAAAACTAAATCTGTTTTTTTTTTAATGTGCAATTACATTTGTCTTTAACCCTATGATCATCATGTTCTTAACTGTGACAGATAAAGATAACCTGGAAGCATTATTCATGCCTTTTTCCAATTGTATAGAACACTCTAGGTTTCCTACTTTCATGACATGTTTATCATAGATTATAAATTTTCTGATGTTTATTTCCATTTTTCATAAAACCAATTGTGTTTTTGAATTTCTATGTTTCAGAATGGGAATTGTTCTGAAGGAAGTTGAAAACTAAATCTGTTTTTTTTTTAATGTGCAATTACATTTGTCTTTAACCCTATGATCATCATGTTCTTAACTGTGACAGATAAAGATAACCTGGAAGCATTATTCATGCCTTTTTCCAATTGTATAGAACACTCTAGGTTTCCTACTTTCATGACATGTTTCCTTAATTCTTGACATTGTCCTTGTAAATTCTCACCTCAGTCCAAAAGAATATTAGGGTCAGTTTGGTATGTTTGAGAAAACATTTATGTTCTCATTTCTGATTTTTTCTAGTAATTATGAAAATGCCACCTTATTTTTACTTTATTTTATGTTTTCAAAGATTTATATAGGAAATAGTGAAAACAACTGAGAAGTTATATTTTAAATTAGGAAATAAAGTAAAAATAAGGTGACATTTTTGTAATCATTAGTGAAAACATTAAATGTTTTCTCAAACCAAATAGACCCTTAGCTTCCTCTTCCAGTATTTATGCATGGATTTCTTGATGCAAGATATTGGAGTTTGATGTTCCATGTGAAGTTATATTTACTTACAAGATGCTAGACTACTGTAGATGTTGACATAGATTACTCTCTTTTGTTGTGTATGATTATGATTATTTCTCAATAATTAGGATTTGAGAGTTTCAAACTGTAACAAAATGTAGACATAGAGTACACCCTTTTGATTCATTATTGAAAATGAATTTTGATTATACTTGTGTTATATTATTGTGAAAGAGTTGGCATTTGAACATGTCCATTGTATACTCATTTTCTTCTATTGTATCTCTACTTGTTTCAGGAATTGCTGCTTAGGAGATATGTAATTGGATATGTTATGATAACAGTAGTAGATGAAGGGAAACTGCTAAAGAAAATGAGGTATTGTGAAATCATACATCTCTGTCAGCTCGCAAGGAAATTCATAATATATAGCTAACGGTGTTCTTTCATTTGAAGTATACATAAGCTAAATCAGTTACAAGGGATTTTGTGTAAGGTTTGGGATTTTGTTCTGTCGTCTTTTTGATTTTTCAAGACTAGGTTCCTTTCTTGGAATTTGATTGAGGTGTAAAATCAGATTGCGGGATATACTCACGAAGATTGGTTCCAGTAGTTTATTAATAGTGCATTGCTGGAGAGATGCACCATCGTTACTCGTTAGTATGCTTAATGATAGTTTATTAATTTTTGAATTTTTTCTGCCACTGTAATGCTTGGCAAAGGTGTTTGTTATTGTCACCATCTTTTTTATGGGACATGTTATCTGATCAAATTGTAAGTGAAGTTCAGTTTGATTTATCAGGTTTGAAACATGCGAGGGGTATCCATCTTGGATCCCCCATCAAATAATTAGTTACTGGACAGATATTATTTTTTTGTTAGACCTTTGTTATACAGCTTCATACTTGGTTTATTGTTAGTCAAAATTTGGTTCCCACTGGTATTTTATTCTGTTCATAGTAGTTACTTTCCTTCCTGTGTGGTTTGAGCATGTTATTGCTTCCATTTATGGATCAAAATTGGTTGGTTAAAATAAGGAAAATGGTTCAAGATATTTTTGTAACTTGTGTTTGTCAATAGTAACTTATTGAGTTTTTTGGTTTTTTCTTTCTTGAGATTCCTTCCTAATGACAATTTGGATTTGGATCTTAAATCCAATTCTGTGTGGTCATTGCCAACTCTTATATGGGTCAGGATTTGTCTTGTATCACTTTCAGTTTTCCCCTGAAAACACACCATTACAATGTGGTCCTGTTTTTCTCTTCTCTACGCATACACGCACACATAATTGCATATATCTAATCTCGTAGCTATTAAAACAGCTTAGAGCAACTTTGCTATGCACAATAATTGGTACATACTTGTGTAGAATATCATTATTCTAGGCCACCATGGCAAGCGTTTGTTGGAGATTTTAGAGGATTGTGTCACATGCAAATCCATACAAGTGCACATGCCTCAATTATGTTGAAGGTTGTGGTTGTGGACATATGGTGGAATCTTTTTAATTCCAAAACAATAGTGTCTGGCAATGATAATCATGGATAACAATTTAGAAATCTTTTGAAATTTTGAATGGAAAACAAAGCTAGAATGGTTTTTTTTTTTTTCCCTTTTCACGAATATATATCTCTCAACTTACTGAATCAGATATTATTCTCGATCGCATTATTTGTTGACCTGAAAAGTTTCAATGTGTGAATGCAATGTGCTTAATCATTATGTTAATACATGGGATTAGTTTGGTCAGCTATAAATGTATAAATTTGAGAATTGTGTTGCTTCTTCTGCTAACAACCATTCCCTTTCCTAGAAAATCCTGTCTCCAATCCATGTCCCCGAATCCTGTCCCTCCAATCATAAAATACTATCTCAATTAAATTGTCACATCATTACTTTTAATTTTAATTTTAATGTGGACTATGTTACTTATCAATAATTGTATCAAATTGTTGGAGAATGGAACGTTGCTTTTTTCTTTTTAATTACCGTTGCCTTTTTTTCTTCTTGTTTTTAACGTTATTGCAATGTTTTTTTTTCTCTCTCTCTCTTAAAGAACGTTACTTTTTTCAATTCTACATTACTTTCATTGCAGTTTTATCTACTTGTAACGTTATACATTATTATTAAGAGTAAATTACTATTTTAACCTTTCAAAATACAACGCGTTTTTACATCAAGGAAAATTCAAATAAATCTTTAAAATATCTAATTATTTTATTTAAGTTGTTAAATTTAACATTATATTATCATTTTTATTCTTAAACATATATTAATATTATTATTTAATCAGTCTAATATTATTATCTAATGATAAAAATTATGGTACTAAGTTCGAACCTTATAACATCATTATAATTCTTACATATAAAAACATATTATTATTTAAATAAAACATTTTTATTCTTATTTTTGGGCCAACGTAATTGATGGATTATACTTTTGTGGATTAATATAATTGGACTATACACTTTCATGAACTAAAATAGTAGTTTACTCGTGTTGTTACTTTAATATATTATTTTGTATTATTTTAAAACTTATTAACTTTAATCTCCATTATTCTTTATAATATTTAATTTGAAAGTAATTATTTTATTTTATGAAAATGTAGTACATATTCATTTATTATTTAACAATTGACATATAAATATACCAAATTAAAATTAAGATGAATAATAAAAAAAATGAAATATATTATCGGATGCATTGAGAGACCTTAACAAGTTTCTTGGTTAAATAAAAAAAATGATTGAATTAGTTAAAATGAAAAAATTATAAAACATTATAGAAAATATGTGAAATGTTAATAAAATTTAGAAAGGCTCTTATATTTATTGAATGATTTTAATTTTTATGTATTGTAAGTTAAAAAAATTTACACTCTCAAATAATCAGAATTCACAATAAATATAAATTTTGAAATTAATAAAGGTTAAAAATATTTTTTCGTTCTCATAAATATGTAATAATTTGTTTTTCGATTCTTATTTTTAATACATTGACTTTTGGTTTTTTTTTTTTTCCAGGTGTCAAATTTTATCGTGTCGCAAATTCTACTAATTCAATTTAAGGTGACATCTAATCACTAGGCACATGATTGTTAAATTAGATTAACAAAGATAAAATGTAACATATCTTAAAAACGATGGATCAAAGACTGATATTTAAAAATGAACGAGTAAAAATAAACTCTAGATATTTATAAAAACTAAAAAATGTTTAACAGATAAACTTAACATATATATGTATATCTTAGTTGTAACTCTTTATACCAAATTCGACTTTTATCGATAAAAAAACATTAAAAAAAAATTGGCATAACCCTAGAATTTTATGTTGGACTTTGGGGTGTACTCTGTACTAAGGTTTTATGTTGTTTACAACTCATCTTCCGAACCATTTTTCTGTTTACATCTGTAAAAAAAATTTAAATAAATTATTTATTTAATTTTATTATTTTAAAGTTTTAAACAATGGGAGGATTTTTGGGTAAAAAACTTTGGGAGGATGTATCATTTTTGTTAATGTTTTTGTCTGTCTTTTGACAGCAAATGCTTTCCTTTCCTTATGGAATTGCTTTGTTTGAGACAATGCTCACATCACAGCCCACAGACTTAGCCTTTGTGGTGGGCCCATCCAATCAAATATCATAGTTCATCCCACAAATGAATCAAAAATATTGTTACAACTTTTCCTACCCTTTTGTCATCTTCACTTGGTCCCCATCCTACAACCCATAATAACATAATTGTTCAACCACTATGCTTAAATCAATCCTTCAATTCTAGACAAAAACCAAATCATCTAATTAGGAAAAACTTAGTCATAATAAAAGTTCACCCAACTTTTACTTGATATGCATGCAACTTTCTTTATAAAGTTGTGAAAGTAACTATTTGTCCCATCGCTTACAAATACAAGTTATTTTATTGACGAACTAGTCATATATGTAAACGTAATGGAGGCTATCAAAACGTTTTGCAAACATATAAATAAGAATAGTAGAAGTAATAAATTACTGCATGTTTTTATTGCCCAATTTCATGGTTTGGCAGTTGATATTATTATTTACAAATCAAGTATTTGGTCTGTATGAAAACATTTTGTAACAACATGCACACATATTAAGGAAATTATTAAATTTAATTAGAAAAATGAAACTATTAAATATTAATAGTTTATTAGTTAGTGAAAAAGAAGCCACGTGAAAAGAAAAATATATTTATTACATGTTAAAATTCCAAGTCTAATAGTGTGTTTGAATATGATTTTACGATCACTTTTATTCATGAATTAACGTCAAATTATTACAATTGATGTGGAAGTTACACATACTAGCTTTTGAAAATTCACGTCAATTTGAATTTAAAATGAATTTCAAATCTGCTGTAAATATATTTATTACTCATAAGAAGTACTGTATGTTTTAGATGTTAGGATTTGGTTCTTTTAAAGTACTTACTGATTTTTTAAAGAAAAGAAGTGTAAAACTGATATTGTATTCAATTGAAAAATGACTTAACAGAAGATGGTACATGTATGAACACATGGCCTAACTAATGCCAAATGGTATAATAGATCATCAATAATAATAAATGCGATAATAAAAAATTGAATCTGTAATAATACAATAATAGTGACAGTTGATTGAAGAAATAACGGTTGACATTATAGTAAAATACATGCTGAATAATTTATGAAATTGCAAAAATCTCAACACTTGAGAAGAAAAAAAATCCCAAAATATTAGATTATATTTTCATCAACCTGAATTTCTATCATACTCAAACATTTTAGAAGTATTTATTTTTCTTTAATAAACACCATCATTCCAAAAATCCCAAGTTGTTGAACATGAACAAAAGAAAGCAGGCTCAAGGCCCAAAACATGATACTGTATATATTATGAAAAAGGAAAAAAGAAAAAGAAACACAGATCGATGATGATGCTGTACGGTACTCTTGATCGTGTGAAATAGACGAAAGCGAAATCATAAATGATTTGGCCCCATCAACTATAGTATTCGCCATGTGAAAATGGGACCACAATACCACTCGTGATTACACACAACATGAACCTTTTGCTAGATGAAAAATCCTCTTTCACAAACATTGCCATCCAAAACAATGAAATAAGACTAAGACAAAAAAAAGGTTCATGTAGCAGTTAACATAGGACTGTGAGTACAAAGTTAAGATTCCATGTTACCTATAACAGATCAACAAGTACACAAGAAGAGAGAACAACACTCAGCAGTGCATTATTTCATCATTTCATTACTCATATCAGTTTTTGGTCTAAAATCTAAGTCACCTCAAAGTATTCAATTCCCTTGAACAACCAAAGGTTCAGAAGAAAGCCCTGCTACCATAAAACACCCTAGAGTTACTGCTCTTTGGTGTCTGCAACTTCTGTTCAGAGCTTGAGTTTCCTGAACTAGTTGGTCCACTTTCAAAGTCCATAGGAAGCTTCATTTTCGCCAATGACTCGGTGAATTGTTGCATGCTTTTCATGTACATGTCTACAAAATCCTGCTGCACCACATTTGGTTCTGGCTCAATGTTCACAGTTAAAACAGGCTTAGGAAATGGCTCATTCAGCACCCCATTTGAGGAATCACTCTCACCCTCTTTGGCATCCCCATTTTTCTCCTTGATGCTAGAAACTTGTTCCTGATTGGGAGACTTGGAAGCAGCAGCATCCGATGAGTCTGTGCTTGCAGCCACTGAAGGAGATGAGACCCCATTTGTTGACACACTGCTAGGTGGAGAATCAGCCTTAGGATTAGGAGGTTGGACAGATTCAACACTGCATGCAGAGAAGCTCTCCACAAGTTGAACACCTGCTTCAGAACTCAGATTCTCAGTATCAGTAGTGTTCAAGCTATCAGAACCCTGGCTCTCCTCACATGGAATGCCAAAATATTCCGAAACCATCAGGCGGTCTTCGGTTACAATTTTCGGATCCGGGAATTCGATTTTGTCCAAATCTCTGACCAGTGATTCGCATGATTCGGATTCCTTATCGGTAGGCATTGCAGAAATCGCCATAACATCAGGCGAAGCGCCGGTGTAAGCGAGAGACAGTTGAACAAAACCAGCTGGGGAATAGAATAGATCAGTTGAGGAAAGAGAGAACTCTTTCTCTAGCTTGCCATCTTTCACTAGTACTTCAGAAAAAGGCACCAAAGCAAAACCAAGCAACTGATCTTCAAGATAATTCTTCACCCTACTCAGCATCCAAATTTCACATTTGATAGCCGAATCAACCGTCCTAACGTTTAGGCGAAGATTCTCGTTGAAGACAGGGTTTCTTCCTCCTCCATTGATTGTCTTGGTAGAGACAGTATTCTCAGGGTCACTAGTCAAGCAAATCTTAGCATAAACATCTTGCTTGTGGTATATGCATATGTTATGAATGTCTCTTGCCTGATGAATGTAAACATCAACAACACCAATGAAGTCCTCTGGATTGGACACAGCAGCTTCCTTTCCATTGACTTCAATGTCCTTAGACAAAGGACCTGAGCTTTTTGTGAAAATATCAGACCTATACTTCTCAGCTTCACCCAAGACAGAACTCTTGAATGGTGACACAACAGATTGTGGGGACTCCATGATATCACAGCGATTGGGAACCTGACCAAGCACAAAAAACTTCAACAAAATCAAGTCACCCTATGTTAGGCTAAGCTTCAAACTAAGACCACAAATGATTACTTGAACTTCAACCCAATACTCAAACAGGAATTAGATTGAATTTGTAAAAACCAGGAAGGACTCAAATTCACAATCCAAAACCAAAACAACTAAACTCAACTTGAATAAACTGCCTCACAACCTAGGCAGGCTTAAGCAGATCCAAAACAGATAGAAAATTTCTGGTATGTGAATTGTGAATTACATACAAATAAAAAAGAAAGAAAAAGGAAAGGCAAGTTAGGCAACACTCAACTCAACCCCTAAATGTGAAAGAGAAGTAGGAAGCTTCAATTTGATTTCCTCCTAAGCGTTGTTAACTTGCAGAAAAGAAGGCAATTCAGAAACAACAACCTCAGTACAAACCTTAACCTTTACAAGGAATTGAGAATCAAGGTCCACAAAACCCAAGTAGAGTAAAACAAATTCCCAAGAACCAGAACCCCAGCCTCAAAATTGAAACTTTCCACTTTCTAGTGAAATACTAAATTTAAAATATCCAGAACCGGCCAAAACTTAGAAACTATCAAGAAGAATAAAGGGCAGTGCCAGATTTGACCAGATTCCAACAAAGCTACCAGCTATTTCTGCTGTACTATACAGAAACACTCCCACCGGAATCCAAGGGAGGTAAACAGCGAAACCAAAATCAAAACATATAAAACAGAAACACACAAGAATTCAGAGAGAAAACACAAAGATGATCAAGTTGTTCTGGTTTCAGAATTCACATACCTGCCTCAGGCCTTGAGCCAGTTATCCTCCAAAGTCAAAGTGGAATGTGTTGTGTTTGTTGCTCTAGTTCACGATGAAGGACACCTACACCTACTACCCTGTTGGTGATGAGAGGGAACAAAAGCTGAGCACAGCTTGGCTTGTTTTAAAAAGGGAAGGATAACGTGAAAGGAAATAGTATGAACAGTGAAGAAAATAAAAATCTTGAGGGGGTGTTGTAGTGTTGTGACTGGGGGAGGTTCTGTGTTTTGTTGTGTGTATTTGGAGTATGTATGTTATGAGTATATATGATATAAATGATGTGGTACTGTGTATATACAGAGGGCATTTATTATTATTGTGTTGGAAAGAGAAAGGGAGAGGATAAGGTATGGAAATGGAAGAGATGCAGGCAGCAGCCCCAACAGACAGACCAATGAGAGTGAAGTTGTGTGCATTTTGCAGTTGGAAGTGGGGTATGCTGCTTACGACTTTTCTTTGTTCTTTTTCACTCACACAGTCCCCACCCATGACTTTCACTCACTGCACTTCTGTCCTCTTCTTCTATTTTCTTTTTCATTACTGCTTTCACATGATTTTTCAAAAACAATTTATCATAAAATAGTTTCAATTTCATTTATGGTTGACCTTTCCCATGTTATAATTTTTTTTTCATTAACATGTATGTCCACTATTCTAAAATTGTTAATTAAAGATTGAGTTATGTTTAGGAAAGAAACATGATTTTCACCGAAATAAAAATTAAATCTAAAAGTACTAATCAATTTCTCGTGTTCCAAAATAAAACTTATAATTATTAAAGCAAGAAACTTGATACCATATTATAATTTACCAGTGAATTTAACAACTTAACATAGTATGATGAGTCATCACATATATCCTCGTATATATTTTTCTAGTATATAATTAAAAAATTTGACTTAAAGCTTAATTTTTTATATGTATTATCTTGATCAGTAAGAATCAAGTTTGATATAACTAATTACAACAATTAATTGAATTAAATTATCTCGATTCTTAGTATTATATGAAAAACATTTTATTGAGTGATTACATAACTCAATAAAAATAACTAGCCCTTTGATGAGTGATTACAAGTTTGTGAATATGGTTGTTGCAAACTCAAAAAGTTTTAAGAATTCGGAATCCCCTTCTAACCCTATTGGTATTTACTAATGTTATTTTATCTTTTTGGTAGCATCGTGTATTGTGGTGTTATTGAATCTTACCTTCAGAACATATCACGTAGCATGGGAATTGAAATCAAACAATCATGCAACGCAGGACTTCAAAGTTTCATCCTGTTTTGCTTTGAGTGAAGTTCTCTCTCCCAACATGCTACATATCCCTTCCCAAACTTCTACCGAAAATTTTGAATGAAATAAATGTGTATTTATTCAGTTTTATCCGATGTGAAGGAATCTGCCAGGGAAATTCCCTACTCTATCAATGTATATTAATGGCATTCGGATCCCCTCCATTTCTATTAAAAAGAGTGCATCTTCATTAAAAAGATGGAATTGATTTCATTTTCAAAACAATATAAACAAAATTCTTCTGTCATCCTTTTTCCCATTATTGGCTAAAGTTTTCTCTTTCTCTTGCGTCATTTTATGTACAATTTTTAGTCTTCAAATTTTTTCATGAAAAATTTGATCATTATAATTTAAAAATTAAATACTGTTATAATTAATAATCAAAATATTGGAAGAAAAAAAGTGTTAAAGAAAATGTTAGGTAACATTTTTGGAGATGGAAGTATGTGTGGCCTCCCCCTTTGTCTTGTGTTTTTGGATGGATAAGGATGCATTGGAGTACTTTCATGTGCCTTTCTTTCTACTTTTGCTCATCAAATCCCTTTCTTTCATCTTTGAATGCCGTAATTTGCGTACAAAGCTTTCACATATTAGATGCCTAAATGAAAATTATTGACCAATGAAGCTCGTATAAATACTAAACTACTAATTTATTTCAAGATCCTCTTAGGATTGGAAAGGACATGTGGGTACCATGTGAGACTTTTGAATCATGCAATTCGATCTTACATTGCATACATAAAAACAAATGCCATCGTCAATTATTAATACCCAGGTCTATCATTTCTAGAAGGAAAAAAAAAATCTGGAAAGCTACTGATATTCTCTTTCTAAATTTATATATAAGTTCAAATAATTAATTTCAAATAAATTAAGAAACATAACTAAATACATTTAACTAAATAATTAATTTTATCATGGGTTGGTTCCTCCACTGTCTGGCTAAATTTTTTTGGACATATATTCAGTTTCTAAGCATTTGAGTATGTAGGGTGAGATTTTTTAACCGATTTTGTCTAAGTTACTAGCAATAATTTACTTGTGAGAAATCACATATCGTCATCATCAAGGTTATTTCAAACACTGTCCTTGTATGAAATATGTGGTAAATCACTGAGTAATTATTTTTTAAGCGTCGTATCTTATTTTATTGTGGTTATAAAATAGGTACCGTGTTTTTAGTTACTGTAAGTATTCTTTGACTTATTGTATTTGTATATGAGTTAGAGTACCTTTGTACTCCTTTTTAATAAATCTCTTTTGTTTAGTTAAAAAAAAAGGTAATAGAAGATTTGAAACATAATTTACTCATTTTAATGGATAGAGATTATTTCAGGTTTATCATAAGAAATAAATAAATCTAAAAGAGTTTAATAACATTTACATCCGCTTAGAACTGACAAATGAGTCAAGTCAGTCGTCCATGTCAATGTTTATAAATTCGTCAGTTTGCTTCATGCTAAATAAATCTGATTAATTTGAAGTCTAAAAGTTAAATAGATGAAATTCTATTATAAATAATTTATTTTAGAGTTTATGTTGAATATTTTTTAAAAACATTAACACGTGTGCGTTATAAGCTGAGTAAACACAACATGACGAGAAAAAGAAAAGAAATAAAATTCTTTTCAAATTTTTATATGAAGTTATTTTTTATTTATACATTTTTTCACCAAAAAAATATTGTCAACTAATAATAGCAAAATAATTGATTTGAAGATGTAAAGATGAGGGTTTTTATTTATCCACATATTTATGGATATATTAAAGAAAGTGAACTAGTATATATCTAGCAATTAGTTAGTTTTGTTTGGTCTTTGATGGAAAGTGAAAGAGTTGTGTGTGAAAGTAAAGGGTGCGCAAGAGTAATGCGGTTGTTATAATTAAGTTAGTTGAGTGGAAAAAGCTAAGGTGCCTTTCATGGTGGTGTGGTCTCAATGTGGCAACCGCGGTTACAGTCACCAAACCATTCACTTTTACAATACACTAACATCGCTGTATTGGTTTATCATTTTATAAGATTTTAAAAGATTTTTTTTTAGTAAAAAAATTTATTGGTATTTAATAGAATTTTATGTCACTTAAAAATAATATAATAGTATTTAATCTGGATTTTTAAGGTTTTTTAAAGAGTCCATTTAAATTCATTAGTATTCATTTAAGACTTTTTACAAATTAAAAAAATTCATAAGTATTCAAAAATATATGGATTTTAAAAGATTGTTGTATTAGAGAGCTTTTGAAAGACTTTTTAGTGGTATCTATAAATACCAAATTCATAAAACAATCATATCTAAATTCATCAGATTTTGAAGGATTGTTTAAAATGACTTTTTAAGTGTTTCAATAATTTTCAAGTGAGTTTTTCATTTTTTTTCTATGCTCATGTCACTACTGCTTATATATAATATTGTACTAGTATTCTCATTTCATTCCCCTATTTGGTGAAATTCCTATACATAAATAATGGTGTCATTGACTTGTTCTATTTTTCTCTCTGTCCTCTTTAATTGACTTGCTCTATTTTGTTTTATTTAGTCGATTTTGTTCTTCATATATATAACATCACTTGAAATTTCAACTTTTAAGTAGTAATTTTTTTTATAACACGCGTCAAAAAAAGAGAAAGATAAAAGTTAAAATTGATATTATAATATTTATAATCAATCGTAAATCTTCATGATCTTGTAATCAATTTAGATTTATTAGAACAAATACATATATATATATA